AAACGCAATCAGCGCATTCCGCACTGCCGGTCACCGGATGATGGAGCCAGTGGCTCAGAAGCATTGCGACACCAAGCGCGCGCTGATTTCTAGGGCCTCAAGTGCCCAAGTCGCTCGGGTGCACAAAGAGTTGTCCCAATCCCAGTCACACATCCCATCCTTGGGCCTCGGGCATTCCATTAGCTCGGCTGCCAAAGTCCCTGCGGCGTCGCTCCGATACACGATCTTTCCTTCCCACAGGCAACCGGACGCATGCCTGGCTGAGCTAAGGCACCAAAGCCCTGAGATGTGTGCAGCGAGCCGAGTGTTCAAGCTCCGAGGCATTTTCGCGACGGCGGCTTTCCGGTCGTTCTCACTCTTCCCATGAGTCTTGGTATCTTGTTGGCATCTGGCGCACCCAGGAAGCTCGCGTCACTGTAAAAGCACACGGCTCGGTGCGGCCGACGACCAAATTTCAGGGCCTCTTGCACTCGCACCGGGCCACAAGCCTTGGGGTCAAAACATTCCAATCGAAACTTTGGCAACTTGCGGACCTACATTAGGCAAAGCAAACAAATCTCATACTATAAAATGACACGTCACTGAGCTTAAGACAAACTGCACCCGCAATTTGCGAGGTTCAGGAGGGCTGCACAATGTGTAAACTCAGAAATAGATGACCGACAAGTTGCACTCCGGCAAGAAAGCCTGGTGTGCATGACGATTCCGCCTACTCAGTTTCCTTCCCACATCCCTTATCCTCCCGACCATCCAAAATAGGTGGTACATGGGTGTTCATCCGCCCCAAAATGGAGCCATAGGTTATGACCCATGGCCATGTACGAGTACATAGTCCTTCTCGCTAAACATTCTGCCTTCATAACCTCCAGACAAAAAACACTCCAAACACTCCAAGCGCTCCGCTCCAGAGCGATCGCAACTCCGATCGCAGGCTGGCGAAGCGGTTTGTACCTGCCTGACCTTTCGAGTCTATGAAGCTTTAGCTTGAAGCGGTGCTTATCACAGCTGATCTCTGTGCATTCACCGACTCCAGCTGCTTCAATGCGCCAAATGTCTGCTTCCCAGTGCTGTGCTCAGGCAGCTACACGCTTAATATGGGATGGCTCACCTTGCTGGCTGTCCTCATCGTAATTCTGTGACGAATGAACACGCGATGCGATCGGCTGCAGCAACGATACTGCGAGCGCACAATCAGAAGCGCTGCCGAAAAGGTACACTTAGAGTCATGAAGTTGATGGTGCACCTGGAGAACAACATGGAAACCGCCATGCAAGCAGCACACACTAGAAGACCATTAGTGCAGCTGCTCTGCGTCGTTTCTATGGATGCCTGATCTGGTGGAGATACAGCTTGTCAAGCCAGCACGACTCGGCGGTGTACAAACTTTATCCCGAGATCTGTGCTTCAGGCGGGTGTATGCAGCAGCCAAGCCTCGGCAAGAACGCAGGACCAGTGCCGCCCCTGCATCATGCTACCAAACTGATCAGAGTCGGGCTCCCGTCAGGGGTTTGCAGGCCCGGGCCAAGCAAAGGCATGCCCCAAGTCGCTGCGCATAGAGAAAGCCGCGCTTGGCTTCGGACTGCAAAGCTCAAGCGGGCGTCAGCGGGTGTCAGCTCTTGGCACGGCCGAAGACTGGCGGTGCCAGAAAGGCCAGGAAGACTGCGCGAGCATTCAGCAGCTTCCGAGGCACACAGACAGGGAGAATCTACACTGCTCAGCTTCGCAGAAAAGAAGCTGCCCCTTTGGTTCCGCTCATGGTAGAGGGGAATCATGTTTTCTGTGATACCAAAGTGGGCCATCCCTATGACTTCTTTGTCGCTTGACAAAGGATTGATTCCTTATCACTGAAGATTGGCCAAAGCCTCAGTTTCCCACAGCTACGGTCCCGTTGGTCCATTTGTTTCTTGTCATCCATCATTCTCGCATCAGGGCTTGCCTCAATGTCATCTCACGTCACGGATTCACCTCAGAGCTTTCCAGCCGCGAGAGCTCTCACGGCTTCCCCTGAGAGCGCGCAGAGGCGTGCAGTTTGGAAGCGCGCAACACGTCCGTAAGAGCAAAGACGAGCTGCGACAAATCGGTCTGTCTCTTGAGGGTGCCCTTTTGGGGGAAGTCAAGCCAACGGAAATCTGCCCATTTTTGTAGTTGCCCAGCTTAAGACCCAAGCGTGAAACACAGATTTCTGGGCACAATGGCCCTCAAAGATCACTCAAATCTTCGAAGCCAATCGCTATGCACTGAATCCAAGGCAACATTTGGGAAAGCACTTCAGCCGACTTGAGGGGAGATCTGCCATACTGCCGCGAGGCTTGGTGACAAGTCCGCCAAGAAGGTTTTTTCCACCCGGAGAAGACAGATTGTGGCGAAGCCAAGGGGCCTGCCTATGGGTTACATGCCAAGCACCGTGGATGGCGCCCACTGCAAGTGTCACAATTGCAAAATGCCTATCGCTACTGCGAGGACTGCGAGCTTCGGTGCGGCTTGAAGGTCAATTCATTTCACCGCGCAAACAGCGCACGGCAAGGTGGCAATTGGCTCTCATACAGCTGTGGGCACTAAGTAAAGGATGCCTGCTGTATTGCCTCAAAGGGTCACGGCACGTGTGTGTGTGTGTGTGTGAGCTCTTGTGTTGCTTTGCACGCACATTGGCACTTGGTTTGAGAGAGGAGCCGAAGCAATGCTGGAACTAGGTTCCAAGGGATGCGAGCGTTGGCTGCGCAAAGACCAAGGATACGGCAAATTGCACGAGGAGAGCAAGGAATCACCCTGGGAAGCTTCATAAAAGCCCTCCTCGCTGACTTAGAGCTGGCAGCGAACGACAACAAAGGCAAGCTCAATTTGAAGCTCCTCTCTCAAACATGGCCACCAAACAGCATGTCAATGGCCTCTTGGCAGCCTAGCAAATCGAGGTGCTGAGAAAGGCCTGGAAACGTGCGGCTGCCACTGACCTAATCTGAGTGGCAGCAGACCAAGGTGCCCAAGCTGCGGATGGAGTGAGGACTAGGAACAGCAGTTTGGCAGAACCGCAGCACGTGAATCCTGCGCAAGAAGAGTCAAGCGATGTCGTTTGCCCCTTTCTTTCTCTGGAATCAGCTTAAAATGAGCAAATCGCTTTGGGCGGCTGACTCAACTCAGGCCAAGGCATTGGGAAAAATAAATCTCAATAATCTGAATTGACCCAGCGACAAACCCCAATAGACACCGCCAGGACACCAGGACACCACACGAGGGGATACCCTCGGAACACCAACCAGCACGACAACATGACACCGTGGGCACCGGGAAACCGTGGGCACCAGGTAAAGAGGTTCCAAAACTCATACCCTGAAATTGCCCTGCAAGCTACAAAACAAACCTTGCTCAAACATGGCAGCCCCAAAATGGCACTTGGCTGATGGCTTTATTCACCACAGACTACAAGCTGGAACCCCAAGCTCGTTCAGCCAGGCGGCGCGCCAGGAAAAGCCACCGCGCGGCGCTCAAGCTCCAAAGCCAAAGCCGCCGCGCCCTGTGGAGCCTGCCGGGTCTTCGGCTTTGGATTTTGGTTCGGGCGGGCGTTTACCTCACGGTGCCATGTTGGGTGCCATGGTTCGGGCTTTGGTTCGGTGCCATGTTGGGCTGCCATTTTTGTTGCATGTAAATCTGTGAAGGCTCCATATGGTCATTGGTCATTGGAAGTTTGGTACTCGTAGCGCCCTCAGAGTTCGTGGCGATGTCATCCCAATGGACGCCGGCAAAAAGAGTGTTACTCACGCTCAAGTGAGCATGCTCTGCCTGACACAGCTCCAAGTCCGCTTCCTGGGACAAAGAAAGCCTGGCCGTCACAGAGGTGCGGCTCACCCCAAGCCAGGGTTCCACTCCAGGATAGACTTGATTCCAGGGGTGGTTTCATTCCCCAGCAGAACCCGTGGGTTTAAGTCTATCTTGGGGTCAAAAAGTGGAACCCTACCACAAGCCCTCTTTGCGCTTTCGGGCCTGGAGACAAGAGCTGCTTGTACGAGCGCCACTCCCGTGCCAGGGAGCAGATCTAGCGCGAGTAGGCAGAAACCGGCGATCCTCAGGCTCGGTAACTGTCGCTTCGCGCTGAGCGCGCCCGACAGCCTGTCAACGTGTCCCCCTACCCCGTTAACGGCGGACATGAAACCAGGCGGCTCACATTGCCGAGGGGGGGGGGGGGGGGTCGGGGTAGCCCTTCTACAGTTGTTTCAAAGGGAGACCAAAAGAAAACAATCCATTTTCGAGCTTCCCAAGAGAACATCAAGCCGACGAAGCTCCGGATGACAAATGCCAGAACAATACTGGAAAATGAGTGCCACTGAATCACTGAACAATACCCTCTCTCCAACTAACATAGCACCTCACACACAGAGGGTCGCTTCAAGAGGAAATTGATCTTCCAGGTACCCTCACGCAGGTGCTATGTTAGTGGGAGGGAGGGTACCCAAAAGAGCATTGACGTGACGCTTGCTGACGCTAAGCTCTGGTCTCGTCGTCTTGGCTGACCGCCCCATTGCTCCGGACTCCTTGATCCTCGCGGCCCTCATCCCAAACCATTCACGCCAAGGGCGTACCATGGGCAGCCATTTTGAGTTGGTCTAGTAGGAAATCCAACAGAAGACCAACAATGTGCCCCTGGCTATTGTGTACATATATATATATTAATACACATATTTATAACATGTACGGTACATCCAATCCAAGCTGACCCTCTGACCAAAACCCATGCAGGTGCAGTCACACATACCTGCTCCTTTACAGGGGACAGGTGAGATCCGATCCTTTTGCTCCCGTCTCGCCCATAAGACAGGTATGGGAATGCAACTTTCAGCAAATGCCCCGGAAGGCTGCTGAATTGTTCCGCAAATCTGGATCTGAGATTCATGCTCAACACAAGGACCACTAAAATCGGTCAGAGATATTTTGTTCCAATTGAGAGAGGTCGTCTTTGTGCATCGAGACGCTCCTCCATTCATGCACTTTGTCAAGATTATGCTCACATATTACCCCAAAGTGCGATTTCGCCCCAGGATGCGGCTCGTACGCACTGTGTTGAGGACTGGACTCGGCAGCGCGTCAAAGCGCGCTCGCTTTTGGTCAGGCTCTGCATCCACCATTTCGACATCTTTGGCCTTGCGGGGAACGCATTAAGTCACATGCGTGTGGGTCAAAAATAGGTACCCAAAACGGAACCCTGAAAAAGGAAACCAGGTATAAATTTGACCCATACCCACATTAAGGTTTCAAAGCGCCCCAACCACTCGTACCCCGCCTCTCCATCTTGGGTATCTGGCGTGGGAACACGCACATAGAATCGACCTCCCTCGAATCTGCAAAGGTAGGTCTTCAGAGTCTCAGCATTGCCCGGAGACTCTCCGGTAGCAAGGTCAAAGGTCTTGTTGTGATGAGGGCAGCGCACCATGCCGCGGCGGTTGTCAGCAAGATCCTCGACGTCTTTGAGCTCCGCAGACATCAGGCACATCCCTTGATGTGGGCACCTCGCTTCTGTCACGTAGACCCTGTCGCGATTGTCACGGCCTGGGCCCACGTTGAACCAGAAGAGCACTTCTGTGGCCGGCTTGGTGGGCAAAACCACCTTTGTCGCCGGTGGCTGCATCGAACGCAGCACTTGGTTGCGGCTGCGGGCAGGGGGAGTGGGGCCCCAGAACTGTGGCGCGTCTCCCTCAGAGAGTGTGGCTCTGAGAGATCTGAGGGATCTGCCAGCGCCTTGTTCGGGCTGAGCTTTGAGCTTTTCTTCGAAGGAGGTGATCCATTGATGCCCATCCACCAAGTCGCTGCATCTCTGGATCTCGGTGGGCACCCAACAGTAGGCAGGGTCCTCGGGGTCAATCACGTAGTCGGAGCTCGCACATGCCATGGTAGATATTTGCCCGAGGCCCAACCCCAGGGCCGCTAGCTGGCTTCGAGCCACGCATGAGCCTGTCATGTGTGCCAGTATTGACCCTCAGACGCCTCTGTGTAAGATCATCGATTAGTAGGTGTTTCAGTCATGCCTTTTGATGCGAGCGCGGCCGGCGTCTGATCCAAAACGGCAGCGCCACGCGCATGTTGGAACAAATGCTGAGTGAGCAGTGAGGTGCTCCCTTTTCTCAACTAGGTCCTCCAGTAGAGAGGTTAGAATAAGGGTACCCTTTGTTCTGCATTTTTTTTTTTTTTTAAGTAGGGGAACCGTACCCCCAAAAAGGGTCAAAGGGCACTACTGGGGCCAACATCGCTGCAGCGAGGCGCACTGACCGATTTTTACATCCTGGCAGGATGGAGAAGGGCTCCTCCAGGACCCTGGCTTGCCATTTTCCATTTCCGTCAGCTGATTCAGGCTGCAGCCTGGCATTGCCCCGGTCTATGGTTACGTGTCCCCCCAAACAAGCCGTCCCGGGCTGTCCGGGTGTTGGGAATGACCTGAAGGAGATCTCGGCTCATGAACCCATTCATTCCAATTCTAGACTTGACGATAAGTGGAAGAGCATTTGTAGGAGGTGCTGACGTCGGAGAAGCTTCGGACCAGCAGGATTTGAGCCTACAACCTCCCATGCGCCATGGCCCCATAAGATGGCAAGGTTTTTTCTATGGTATATTTGGGTTTATCCTAGACAAAATGATGTGTTTGCTTCTCTTTCTTTTTTGTTTGGGGGAAGATCCTTCACCTTTTTCGCCCATGGCCTGAAGTACACCTGCAATCTCGTCTGGGAGCTCCTTGGTCAAATGGCTCCCTCGCATAACTTTCCGAGTCAGAACCCCCCCCAACCCTTCGGAGTGCCAAATTGAGAGTGAACAAATCAGACTCCCATGTCCGTTCGCGTACGCAAAAAGCGCCAAACTGCAGTCCCCAGATCTTCAAAATTATGTTGGGTAACATGAAATCACGTTGAAACCCAGGAGATTGACCCGCATGGACTTTTGGATTCAGACCCTCGAAGACCGGTAAACAATCCAAAAGAACCGCGGCACAGAACCCAGGCCTGAGCTGAAAATGGAGCTAACGGGGAAAAGAAAGGCAGTCGGGAATCGCCGGTCACTAACCCCTGTCACCCAAGTCGACATGCTTTCTTGTGCAAAATGCTAACCCCCCCCCCCCCGGCAACCCAAGATATTGCACCAATTACCTTCTGGTCACTATGCTTGATCCTTCGGGACATTTATTCGGACGCCCCGCTTATTCCGATCCTTTCGGTTTGGCCGGGTATGGCTTCGTCTTTGCCGATTTCCCCAACCTATCCCGATGTGTCAAAGAAGGGGATTCGACGAGAATTCGTGCCCCCAAAATCAAATTCATCGGCTAATTCTCCCATCTCTCCGCACCCCGAACATTTCGGCTCAACCCTCGTTGTTTTTTGACTCAAGCCCACTCCGGACCCGGAAAATAAGCTCTGGTGATACCCCCAACAGCACGCGGTGCTCTTTTTAGTGCTCGCACCACCCCGCAGCCCTCGCAGAACCTCGTGGAACCCTGGTGGAACCCTAGTGGAACCCCAGTGGAACCCCAGTGGAACCCTGGTGGAACCCTGGTGGAACCCTCGTGGAACCTTACCTGCGCCGCCCCGGACCACCCCGGAGCCTATCTGGGCTGAGACCCCAAAGCTTTCAGCTGTTGGGGAAATCGGATGTTGGCTTCCCCACCTCCGGCTTTTTCGACCTCCGACCCCTCCGAATTCACCGAATTCGCCGAGTTGTCCGAGCTCTCCGAGGCGCCAGTTCTCGGAGCGGCGGTGCGCCAGCAGCGGGTGGCACAGCATCACATCCCCGGGGGCGCAGCGCACGTGCTCCGCCGCCCCCAGGTCCATGGGCGCCACCAGGCCTTCCGATTTGGGCGTATGGCGACCCAGGTGGATGCGACCCAAAAAAATGGGGGGCCGGGGGGGGCGGGAAAAGGCCCTCTTTAGGAGTCTGATTCTAGGAAAATGAAAAAAGTGCCCCTCATCTTGACTCATAAAGTGGGAGAAGGGGGAAAGGAAGAGAGGAAGTGAGAGATTGGGGGTAGAAATGAAATCCGAGAAAACCGATTCCGATCCTCAATTCGGCAAGGCTTTCTCTATTGACACCCTCATTTGGTTGCAAAGCAGATGTCCAAAATGAAGGTTTCTCAGCATGACCGCAATCTTTTTGGATGGTTTTGCCGGGAAAACCACGAGGAAGCCAAACTTTCTTTTGGGGTCCTATTTTTTTGGAATTACCAACCAACTGGCCTGCAAGGTGACCTCAAATCCAGTCTAGATCGTTTGGCTTTGCCATCGCCGGCCTTTGTGCTGGTCCCCGTACTGGCGGTGCAATGCCGAGTTACCTCGCGTCCAGGTCAAGTTCCCGGGATGCCCTCTGAATGGTGGCTCAACAATAGGGGCCCAAAATGGCACCAAAGTAGACTAAAGATTAAATCCTGCGGGAGCCACACCGACACGGTCCAGTAATAGTTGGGATTGGGATGGCGGCTCTGTTGTGCCTTAAGCGAAGCCACGAGGAAGCCGGCCATTTGCGGGAGAGACCCGGTTCTATTGCTGGGTTTTTCCGAAACCGCCCAAAGGGTGCATCAGAAGGCTTCAAACAGAGCCAGGGCAGCTGTTCAAAGCATTTTAGATGCTGGCAATGCGCCGATAATCCCAATGACAAAGCTCAAGCAAACAAAGCCAGCTTAGCCAACGTTGGTTTGCCTTTGAACGGCAAACACGTCCAAGACCTCAAAGGGGGTGGGGGGGGGGCAGCTCTCAACCAGTTGCTTCTGGGATCTTGGGAGCTGCGAATGATTTCCCAAGCCCCCTCATATTTGGTTTAAACCTTCCTTTGTTGCTTCTTCTTGAGGGAAACTCCTTTTGGTTCTGAGGCGAAGCAATAAAAGGAAATCTATGGGTCCTCTTCTAAGACAAACCCGTTGCGGGTCCCGGTGCGGGTCCCTGGCCAGTCTTTTCTCCACGCCGCATCGTTCTTTGAGAGCCAAGGTGCGGTGGGACCCCGGATGGCAGGCGAAGGCGCCCCAGGACTTGCAGTGAGCTGGCGGGAGCGCAGTCAGCCCCACACCCAGCAGCAGCGCCATGTTGTTCGGCAGCTGGCCCTGGGCCACTTATCGGTGAGAGAGGATAGAGAGGTAGGGAATGGAATGAACCCCCCCCAAAAAAAAAGGGAAAAACACAAGGGATGGTTTTGCTTGGGCCTCATTCCCTGAGCGCCAGGAAGAAAAACCAAAGGCCAAGATCGATGGACTCTCAACGCGCGCTGTTTGGTTTCTTGTTTGGGCCACCTTTCAAAGGGAACTAAGCTGGACCCGATCGGTTAAAATGCGCCCACAGGACAGGACCCGCGGATTACAGACTGAAGCCTTGCGAGGCGCCCTTCCGTCCAAGTGGTACTCCTGCTTCGTGTCATCGCCACCTTCATTTGGTTCTCCCGGCCGGCCGTCAGGCGGCACCACAGCCAGCTGACACGCGTGAGGGATCTTTGGACTCTCCTCACAAGCTATTGAAGGCCTTCGCACGGTTTGGAGCGGTCAAAAGGACGAATGTTCCCGAGACATTTGAGGTGAGTCCCCTGGTTTTTGCGGGATATTTGGTGGGTCTCCTGGTTTTTGCAGGAAACTTGCCCCATGTCCCTACTGTTTGAAGCAAAGGTGTCATTTTGTGCCCGCACCTTTCAAGGAGATTCCCAACATGTTTATAAATATGTTGCTATTTGTTGAACACACACATGCCTGTCCTTCTGCCCGAACATCACGTAAATGAACATCGAAACAAGGCAATTTTGGTCCTTCCACCCCTTGCGCCCCGGTTTCAGCAAGTCTTCTTGCCTGTCTTTGTTGTGCGTTGTTCCTGTGGTGGAAGCTATGCGGTCTCTGCCCAAATATGTTCTAAATTCCGGAGATTCGGTTCGAGAACTTCCGGTCTTCAAGACACCTAGCCACATTTTCCCGGATTTTTTATTAACCGCTGGCACCACCCATGTTGGCCTATATTTATATCATTATCTATTCCTCGTGTTCTTTCAACCCGTTCCCCGCTTTTCGGGTCGTTTTTTCCCGAAAATCTCCTGGAAGAGCTGCCGGGCCAAGGGCAGCAGGGGCTGCAGCAGCTTCTCGAACTCCGGCGCCTTGGCCAGGCGCACGCGGAGGTTGTGGCCCTCGCAGCCGGGGGCCAGGACCTGATGGGTCAAGATCAAGCCAGGAATTGGACCGCAAGTTTTAGTCCTTGGTTCCATTTGGCTACGGGTCAAAACCCCATACCCCCAGTGAACATCCCAATCCCAACTAAAAAGACTAAAATGGGTGGTGCACCTACGAGTACCCCAAAATGGCACCATTGGTTTTGACCCACAGCCTCGCTGATCCACCCGGGCGCCGCGTGCAGCGCGGCGGCCGCCAGGGCGTGGATCAGGAGCTCCGACCTGAGCGGCTGAGTCGGGTGAGTCGGGTGAGTCGGGTGACGAGTTTGTGGTTGGCCTGGTCTGGGGAGGTACCATGATCTATTTAAAGGGGTTGAGAGGCGACGAGTTTGTACCATGATCTATTTAAATGAGAAATGACGAGTTCAGGGTCAGCCCGCCCTGGGAATGTTCCATGATAACCATGATCTATCTCTTTTAAAGGGGACTTGGTCGAGAAAACGGATCCTAAAGCTCAATCTTCCGCTTGAAAAACACCAAATGCTTGGAGGTGTGAGGTTCTGTGCTGGCAGGAAAAATGCAAACTGTACCAACAGTCTGACTTCTTCTTGGGGCAGGTTCGTTCGCACTAGATCCCCTTTCACATCGGTCGAAACAGCTGCCCGGCTCAGGTCCAACAGAAGATACCCCTCTTTTCGGAGAAACCGAAGCCGAGTTTGAGATCTCATGAAAATCCGGCACCAGGTCGCTTGTCCCAATGTGTGTAGTCTTGTGGTTGTCCCAATATTTGCGAGTCTCTTAAAATGTTAAATAGAAAAACCACCCACGTGTGGTTCTCCTGTTTGTTTCCTTTCGGCACCCTCCGCCCCCCACACCCATTGGTAGGGCGTTTCATGCCCACCACAGGCGACCACTTGGAGCTCTCTCAGCCCCCGGCAGCCTCAACGCTTGCCGCACCTCCTCTGCCCCAACCACGCCCCGCAGCACGGTGTAACCTCGAGACACGACCAGACGTGAGGCATCAAACCAAGTTGGATCCCGGGGTTAGTGACATCTGTTGGGATTCAAAGTTTTGACAGGCTTTCCACCGTAGTCGGCCTCTTTCGTACAGCTCTTGCATCTTGTTCTCACACAGCTTGAGATTGCTTGATGGCTGGATAGGAGCTGGCAGGTCTGCCTCTTCCTCCAATCCTTCCCGCCAAATCCTGAGCGGTCAAACCCCTTCGCAACATGGGCCATTCATCCACATGCTCCACCACTCAGCCCAAAGAACTCTGCCCACTCAGCCCACGCCCAAAGACCCCTGGTGCCAAGCGGCACCTTGAAGTCCACTGGTGTGGATGATTTGTGCCGCTTCCATGGGCTGAACGCACCTGCTAGAGTGGGCATTGAAGGAGCATGGCAGTGGTATCTAGACGTCACTTCCTCGGCCAGCGACTGAGCGGTGGCCAAAAAGAACCTTCGCCAGCCCGGTCTCACTTTGGCTGGGGTCAACCTCAATCTCTTGAAGGCGACCCAAATGGCTGGTCAAAAATCGGGTAACCCCAAAATGGCCTTGCCCTGGTAAGTGGCAACATGGACCAAAACCTGCGATCCAATTCCTGGTGGTTTCATTTTGACCCACACCCAAGTCTCGAATCTGCCAAGCCGCGCCAACTACTGCCAGCTTCCATTCATGGTGTTGCCTCCATAGGTACGGCCTGCCTTGGCCCTCTCCAATTGGGCTGCGTCCCTCAGCTTCAGGCTTCAAACATTTCCGAGCCATTGCCACTTTCTGTGCAAAGCAAAACTCACCTTTTGCAAGAACTGCAATGTAAACCCATTTCTCTATGGGTTCGATGCAGCTCAGCTGCCAGGAATGCCCACCTGCCGCAATTGGCCATTTTCTGGCGCACGCCAGGAATCTCTTTGAGATACGAGGCATCTATGCGGTCATAGATCTGACCGAAACCTTCTGGAACTTCTGGACCAATCACCTGTGCTCGACGCATCGCATGGTCGTCGCATCGCGCGGTCGCATTGCATTTGGAGTGCAATCCAGGAGCCAGCTGGCCATGGGTCAAAACCCCGTACCCCCAGTGAGCATCCCAATCCCCACTAAAATAGACTAAATGGGTGGTGCACCTATCCCAAAATGGTACCATTGGTTTTGAACCATGCCCTAGCTCACAACCAAGGGGGTCCCAGTGTTTTCGTGGCATTCTTTTGGGTTAGCAGTGTCCCTAGGCCTCCAAATGCTTCTTGTACAAGAGCAAGTCGCTGCACTCTTCATCCATGTGGCAAGGAGAGAAGGGAAAGAAAGGGGCCAATGTTGCTGTGTCTGGCATGCATATAAAATATGTGTATGGATAAGCATGCGTGCATGTATCATATCATATATACATATATTATTATAACGTATCTTAATTGTTGCTTGTCCAAAATATGTGACCCTGTCCAATCGGAGTACCCGTGTTTCCATTGTGCAGCTATCCTCAAGGAAGTCGGAGGGGCCCGTTAAAGAAACATCCACAGACAATGCCGCTAGAGCCGTGCCAGGTGGAATAGAGGGGCGGCGTGGGGTTCCAAGGTGTGTCAAATTCCCCACCAACTGCAGTCATCCGAAATGTCATGCCTTAAAAATAATATCTTCCCATTTCCTTAAACTAATTTCTTATCCGCCATGGGAACAGCTCTAGTGGAGAGATTTTCCAGATCTTTGCTCGGGGGTAGTGGCACAGTGGCATTGATGGATGCGCGAGTTCTTCCATTTTGCCCCACTGCGGAAGTGGGCGGCAATCGATTCCAGCTTCCAGGTAGCCAATAAGGCAAAGATGAGCCAAGTGCTCAATCTGGCCGCTGGCCCCTCATAATCTCTTGAAAATGTCACTGCTGGCCTAAGGCGATGCAGATCCGGCGCACATGATGCAACATGAAGCCCACGATCCGTTCCATCCCGCCGCAACTCTCCCAAACCCTCCATCCCTAAGCCCCCGTCGCAGCCAGCTCTGAATGTCCTTGGGCCAATCACTCGGCTTTCCAAGGTGGTCAAAAGAACAAAGAACAACGAGTCATGGGCAAACATCGAAATCAAGCCCTTCCAAGCCAAACATTGAAATCGCAACTCTCGTGGCAAACCGAAAAATCGACCCCGGAAACCATCCGAAGCACCCATCTCGTTTTGAAACAGACCTCAACCCCCAGGCTTCGGTCGCAAAACATGGGCTTTCCGAGGCGCCTGAGCCCTCTCTGCGTCCTGAGCTTCAGTCATGGCCAACAGGATGTCGCCGGTTGATGGAACATTCGGGTCTAAGGATCTTTACGGCACGCCTATGGTTGGACTGGGGCTCCCTTACAGTCTTACAGGGGATGACCCCTGAAACCCTTCTTTGCCCCTCCTTCAGCTTCAGGCCGATCATCTGCCTGTCAAGTGTGCTTCGTGGAAGAATTCTGCCAAGTCAAGCTCAGATCCAACCTCAAAACCGCAAGAAACAACATTCAGATCATGAACATTCAGCAAGCAGCATTCAACAAATTGACTTGCAACACACCATATTCAAAGAACACCACTCAACCTCAAACAACAAACAACATTCAAACAACCTTTCAACCTCAAACTCGGAACGGAACAGTTTCGAGCTCCGCATAGCTCCACGTTTGATTGGCACTCCGGCCTGTTGCCTCGTTGGCCAGGGTCCTGCCCATGCGAAAAACAAACCCAAGGCACAAAGCTCCACAAGGATCTCGAGGGCGTGGGTCAAAAAAATACGGCTTGCCCTGGCAAATGGAAACATGGACTAAAACCTGCAGTCCCCTGAAAGTTTCAGTTTGACCCATAGCCCAAATTTTGTGCCCTCAAAATGCCATCGAATGAGGTGTGCAAGGAGGGCCCGGGTGCCCACAAAACCGGATCACGGCGTCAAATGCTCAAAGCTGAACCATGGGTGAGATTCCTGAACAGGAATCCGAACAGTTGGGTCGTGCTGGAAGGATCCTGCCCCAAAGGAACCCGCATCGGTCTGTTGATTGCACGCGGTCCTCAGTAACCCAATCCTCGGCTTCCAAGTGCTGATCCAGCGCGTAGATACGCCTGAAGCAGTTGCCGCAACTCATCTTTCTTGGGACATGGGTGTGTGTGTGTGTGTGTGCGTGTGTGTGTGTGTGTCTTTAGGGACCCCCCCCCCACCCCCCCCACCCCCCCCACCCCAAAAAATAAATAATGGGTGTTTCTTTTGGTATCCCTTTCAAAACCACCAAGAAGGGGTATTTTAGGCCCCAAAATGGCCTCGGTTCTCTTTTGGTTTCCCTTTGAGAACCACGAAGAAGGGGGATCTTGCAAAAAACGAGCAGCCCACATGGCTCCTTTGCATTCGAGGCGCTCGTTGACTTCTCGCAGCCACGGCAGGCGATCCCCCGCGTGAAATTGCCCCTGCGCCACGAGAGTCTGAGACTCATTCGGCGCGGCACCGAAAGACACATGGCTGTGGGTCAAACGGTCCGATATACATGGGGTGATCAGTAAATAACCCAGAAAAAACATGTACGACTTTCACCAAATGGGAACAGTTACCCATGGTGATTTTGGGGCCAGGAATATGGCTGTGGGTCAAGCTCGGGTAACCCCATTTTGGGAACTCTATGAAAACATGGACTACAACCTTTGTGGTCCCGGTAGTTTAATTTTGACGACCCGCACCCACACGAAGCTCCTTCTTGGGACCGGCGCAGGGCAAACGCTGCTAGGGTTGGATCTTCTCAATTGGCCCTACATGGGTAAGAGCAACAATACAATGCGATTGACGCGACTGCCAGTGCCAAGAAACACCCCATCACCGTTGCTTGGCGGTGTCAAACCAGGTACTTCAAAATACTAGCTCTCCTTTCTGTGGCCAAACCACAAAACGGGACATTCAGTTTGACAGGGAATTCCAAGAATCCCTCTGCCCCAATTTAATTTTTCTTCAGAGCTTTGTACACACGTTCTTGCCTTCATTCTGCCGGCCATGTAACTGTCCCGGTCCATGCCCTCCAAGATGCCATGCAGCTTCCCCAAGATCGTGAGGAAAGGCTGCGTGCCTCGGCTCCAGGCTCTGTTTTGTAACTGGCCTCAAGGACTCAAAAGGAGTTGCAAGGGTTCTGACTCCTTTTTGTGGGGCCAGAGGGGTGCTCATGTCCTGTGAAGACAGGCGTCTCAAATTCAGGGATCCCGTGGGAGTGTAAACAACGCCAAAGCAATGCGCTCCTTCCTGAATGTGAGCCCAACAATCTTTGACCCCCGTTGCCCTGAGCTGCGCTCCCTCTGTGGAACACAACGGTAAGACGAGATGCGGTAGTTCCACAGGTCAAAGAGTCTCTGCACCTTTCGACTGGCAACTCCCCCGAAAGAAATCGGCGCAGTCCATGGGTGCTTCACCAAAAGGAAACTCACCTGGAGGCATCCTTAACTTTGAGAAACGCCCAGAATGGCCGGGTCTGTGATTTCCACAACTCAACAGTAGAAGGCGCCCAAGTTCCAGGCTCGGCTACCATGATTGCAAGACCCCAATGGCACACTTGCCCAGTCAACATGGTCAAAACAGACACACACATACACAAACAGCAAACAACACAAAAACACATACACTCACAAACAAGCGACAAACACAAACATACAAACACACAAACAAGCAAGCAAGCAAGCAAGCAAGCAAGCAAAACAAAAAACAGCAAACAAACAAACAAACAAACAATCAAACAAACCACCAACCAACCAACCAAACAAACAACCAACCAACCAACCAACCAACCAACCAACCAACCAACCAACCAAACAAACAAACAAACAAACAAACAAACAAACAAACAAACACACAAACAGACAGACAAAGAAAAAGACAAAGAGACAAACAGACAAACACGCAAACACACAAACAAACAAACAAACAAACCAACAAACAAATAAACAAACAAATAAACAAACAAATAAACAAACAAATAAACAAACAAACAAACAAACAAGCTAACAAACAAGCTAACAAACACAGCAAAACAAAACCAACAAACACATGAAACAAACAAACTACCAAAAAAGGCAAGCGAGACAAGACAAGAAAAGACAAGACAAGACACGCAAGCAAGCAAGCAAGCAAGCAAGCAAGCAAGCAAGCAAGCAAGCAAGCAAGCAAGCAAAGCAAAGCAAAGCAAAGCAAAGCAAAGCAAAGCAAAGCAAAGCAAAGCAAAGCAAAGCAAGCAAAGCAAGCAAAGCAAGCAAAGCAAGAAAAGCAAGAAAAGCAAGCAAAGCAAGCAAAGCAAGCAAAGCAAGCAAGGCAAGCAAAGCAAGCAAGAGAGCAAGCATAAAAGACACGAAGAAGCCAAGAAACAAAGACAAAATAAACAAAGAAAACACAAATTATAAAGGCAACACAAAAACATAAACACATCAAGTGCAGAAAATAATGAAACACAAAACCAACCAAACCAAATCAAAGCAAAGCAAGCCAAGCCAACAAAAACAACCAAACCAAACCAACCAAGCAAGAATGCAAAACAAACACAGAAACATAGAACCACAGAAAGACACACACACATGACAAACTGCTTTTGGTGTGGACAGCTGATGTTAAAGAGAACCCGACCCAAACAAGAACAACAACTTTGGAAACCACTGGACATGAAACGACCATGGCCCCCAAAGACATGTGTTTTTTTGGAGATGCCTCATTTGTAAGGGAGACTCCAAACAACGAGCAGCAGCCGTTGAGTGGGGCAGTGGGGCAGTGTGTCGTCGGTTTCCCCGGCCGCGGCCTTTGTCCAGTCCTCCTTGGCCCGCTGATTCTTCTCGGCCAGGCGTTCCCTCTTTGCGCGGACACCTTGGGTTCGAGAATCGCTGCAGCTAAGGCAGCTGCTTCGAGCCCAAAAGCTCAGGTGACAAAGCCATTGTTCCAGATCCCCTTAGGGTTGTCTTGAAGGGAAAACGCCTCCATTCGACCTTACCGGCCTCAATCAAGGCAAGAGGCGCGTTTCTTGGCGCTGGAGCTTGGCGATCTCGTCAATTTGTTCCTCACAATGCGAAGATGTGGTCGGTGTCCGAACTAAGGTCTTCGGTTTCCCTTTCAAACAACCCAAAAAAAACAAAAAACAATATATAATGTTCCATAGTGTTCCATGGTGTTCCAGTGTTGGACGCCCCATGCCGATATGGTGGCAATCGATCAGGCACCTTCTCTATTCGGAGCGCGCAAGATGCGATGCTCCCAAATTTTGAAGACGCCAATGCTGTTCTAAGGGCTCGTCGAAGCAAATCAAGATGCTGATGACACAAACCTGAGCCAATATATATATATATATATACATATATGGGTGTGGGTAAAAAACGTCTTTGGAGTCACCTTGGTTCATTTCACAAGGGAATCTGGGGGGGTTGGGTTTTTTGCCGCCCGGACCTCGTTGGCCCCAAAGAGCGCTGTGAGCCACGGCCTGCGCGCGTAAACCTGACAGGATGCAGCTCTAGAATCACTGCGGCTCTCCTGGCTTCGACCTCAAGGAGTATCATGATGATGTCAAAGATGAAGAGGTAAAGAAAAAGGCGGTGACGAGCAGATAGCACCGTGACCTTGGTTTAAGTGGAATATGCGTGCCAAGAGGCGGTATGGGTGTGTCTCTTTTGAGGGCACCCCTTTTCGGGATAGTTCTAAAGGGAAACCAACAGGAAACACATCCTTTTTGGGGGTCCCCTCCCCCCCGAAAAAAAAACTAGACCACGGTTGGCCCGAAAGCAGAACATCGCAAGCGAGGTCGGCCCAACGCTGCAGGATGCGTTCTTTTTCCCTACACGAAGCATTCGTGAAGCAAGCGCGAGACAGCACCAGGCAAGGTGCTCTGTGCAAGTTGCTCTGTGCAAGTTGCTCTGCGCAAGTTGCTCTGCGCAAGTTGCTCTGCGCAAGTTGCTCTAGGCAAGGTGCTCTGCGCAAACTGGTCGGTGCAAGTTGGTCTGCGCGAGTTGCTCTGTGCAACTTGCTCTGCGCAAGTTGCTCTGCGCAAGTTGCTTTAAAATGCAAGTTGCATCTTGCGACGCCCGCCCGCGGACCAGGGAGGAATCGAACCCGCGACCCGCCGGTTCCGGGAGCAGGCGCGCGAACCACGAGACAACTCCCGAGGACCAGTTCGAACAACAAAAGTCGCGAAAAACCTCGAGTTTTTGCACCTCGACCACGCCGATTCCCGCAGAGGGTTGCGCGAGCACCGCAGAAATTGCAAAAAACCTCGAGTTTTTGCACCTCGACCACGCCGATCCCCGCAGAGGGTTGCGCGGGCACCGCAGAAATCGCAAAAAACCATGGGTTTTTGCACCTCGACCACGCCGATCCCCGCAGAGGGTTGCGCGAGCACCGCAGAAATCGCAAAAAACCTCGGTTTTTGCACCTCGACCACGCCGATCCCCGCAGAGGGTCGCGCGAGCACAGAAATCGCAAAAAACCATGAGTTTTTGCACCTCGACCACGCCGATCCCCGCAGAGGGTCGCGCGGGCACCGCAGAAATCGCAAAAAACCATGGGTTTTTGCACCTCGACCACGCCGATCCCCGCAGAGGGTCGATTTTCGTGTAGTGTCGTCGGCACTACCCCGCCGCCCTAAGAAGAGATTTTAACTCCTCGCAAGTCAATTGCACTTGACTCCTTGCACTTGCAACTTGCACTTGACTCCTTGCTTGTTTCAAGGAGTCATTGCAAGGAGTCATTGCAAGGAGTCATTGCAAGGAGTCATTGCAAGGAGTCATTGCAAGGAGTCATTGCAAGGAGTCATTGCAAGGAGTCATTGCAAGGAGTCATTGAGAGCCATTGCAAGTTGAAAGGAGCCAAGTGCATGGAGTCAAGTGCAAGTCGCAAGTGCACGGAGTTAAGTGCAAGTTGCAAGTGCAAGGAGCCAAGTGCAAGGAGCCAAGTGCAAGGAGCCAAGTGCATGGAGTCAAGTGCAAGTTGCAAGTGCATGGAGTCAAGTTGCAAGTGCAAGGAGTCAAGTGCAAGTTGCAAGTGCAAGGAGTCAAGTGCAAGTTGCAATCCTTGCCATGACTCCTTGCAATGACTCCTTGCAATGACTCCTTGCAATGACTCCTTGCAATGACTCCTTGCAATGACTCCTTGCAATGACTCCTTGCAATGACTTTCATGAGGATGATTCCTTGCAATGACTCCTTGCAATGACTCCTTGCAATGACTTTCATGATGCTGATTCCTTGCAATGACACCTTGTAATGACTCTCATGAGAACAACTCAAGTGAACCCAGCGGAAGAACCCTTCGCCATGCTTTCGGGGAAAAAAACGCACACTTTTTTTCCGCTTGTAGTCCGTGGCTTTTGTGGCTTTTCTCAGGCAAGCAGCTGATCCCAGTCCGAATCCAACGGTGCGGGGCCACTCGTGGGAGAAGTCCCTGTCTCGGGTCCTACACAATGGCAAATCAGGGCTGTGAGAAATGACTGTGATATCACCCCCTGATGTCATTTGTTGCCTGTGGCAGGTACCAAGACTTTTCCTTTCTGGCTTAAAGGAGGGAGTCTCCTGGGTACCTATTCAAGTAAATGGAATCAAGGTTCACAAGCAAAAGGGACTTCCACGTTGTCCCTGTGATTTCCTTTGAACAAGCGAAAGGGAGTGCTCCAAAAATGATCATCGCCCAGAAGGTTTGGAACATTGACAGCCAGGGCCCAGATACAAATCCAAAACCCCTTTTCTGCAGAAACTCGCACGAAGAGTTTGGAGATCTCGACCAAATAAAAAGTTCAAACCTAAAGATTCTTATAATGATTCAAAAAGTATCAAGAAACATTTGGTGTGGTGAAATTGAAGGGATCAAACGTGTACTCCATTTCCGCAAAATTGCACAACACTTATGACTGGAGCCCCCCCCTCCCCCAACAGTCGGTTTCCGGTTTCATGGGTCGGACCATGGCAGGTTGTGACGGTCAATAGGACTTCAATGGCATCGCTAAACCTTTGACGCAGAATGGGTCAACAAAGGCAGTGCACAAGTATTGGAGGCTGATGCTTGGTACAGTGTGGGTTTGACTAATGACCGATTATGGGGATCCGCCTAAAGACGCCACAATGTAGAATGTAGAGCGGCACGAAGGATTTCGAACAAAACTCACAGAATATTCAAAATCGCCCCCGCTGCAAACCAAGTAGTGCAGGCACAGCTGGGCATTGAAGAAAAAACTGAACTTCCACCCAAAGTGTGTCCCTTCAACTCTAGGTGGTTCTGCCCTTTTGGGGCCCTCCGGAATTTTTTCCCCATCGAGTTTCGAGTGTGTCGACCGACGGGTCCGTCCTTCCAAGTTGGAGCCCCAAGCTGGTGCAGCCCCAGCGCAGCCAGGAGATGCCGCACTTCTTGCTGGGGTCCACCGACGCCAGCGCAGAGGAACTACCTGCCAAGGTCAGCTCAGGGAGCGAAAACCTGGATATGACATGCCAAGTTTTTGCCAAAAGAGTGGGGTTGATGGAGAAGGTTTATATTGAGCTACCAGGGACAGATCGGAGTCTGGGTCCAAATTGCAGCCCTTGACAGGGGCCCCCAAATGAGACGAGTATAGCTTTCCTTTGTCGTAACCGTCCTCTAAAATGGGAAAATCTCAAGCCACATCTCTGCATCTTCTGAAGAGCTATAGCGAATACTGCAACCCAGCCACTAATCATGGATTGCCCTTGCTGGGCATCGTCAATGATGCACAAGGCCTGCGGCCACGTTTCCCGGATGGCCTACTTAGCTACTTGAACTGCACCTCTTGTAGGTTTTGGCTGTGTCTCACTTCTTCGTGCAACCTGAGAGCCGTGCGGCTGACAGAGATTGACGATTAGATCCCGTGCCATCAGTTCGGCCCTTTGCTCTTACCCCTTTGTTCCTTGATGATCAAGCTCTTTTGAGGCGAAAGCCATGGCAACAGGGGGAATTTGGGTGGCTTGTCATCAATCTTTTGAATGAACAGAACTCACGAGTTTGGCCACCTGCACAGGTCACACCTGCGATGGAAAAATCCTGCAGTTCGAATGGACACCCTATGAATAGGTTCTGCCCATCCACATGTACAAACATCCCTTAAACTCGCATCTCCGCTTTCGGCACGTTATGTCGCGCTGCTGCCGTGCAACTCCTGACTGCGCTGTTGCAGCGTCACGCTCTTCGTGGCGGTCAGGCGCTGCAGCACTGTGTCACCTTGCAAGCCGTCCAACTGAACAATTGACAAGTCTTCATCCTAACCACACGAAGAAATTGCGCGGGCCCCCACAAGTCCTCCCGCAAAGTTCCGGGACTTTCAGCGATAGTATGTGTTGCTCAAAACAAGTTTGCGTGCAACCTTGAGGCATTCATCCGCCGAAATCTTTACGCAAGGCGTGGGTGCATCAACCTCCCTGATCAGGACATCTACAAGGAAACATCGAGAGAGAAGCAACGACGCAAATCCAAATAACCAATCAGTGGCGAGAACTAGGCTAGTAGTTATATTTTTGTTTGGCTTCCATATGCGTTGGAGACAGCCGTTGCACACTTTGGCATGTGGCCATGTCAAATGAAACCTCTGATAGGGGTGTGGGTCAATATTATAATCACCAGGGGACCGCAGGTTTTAGTTCATGTTTCCATTTACCAGGGTTCCATTTGGGGTACATATTTTTGACCCACTGCCATATAATGGATGCAAGCCGCACGTTTCTTCCAATGTTTCACAGCTGCGCAGGTCCGCCTCCAAACCTTGGCGCAGCATGTCCTCGGCCAACTCGGAAAATCCGTCGGACACGGGCGAATCGAAGGGAGACAACCCCAAATATGCTTGAATGTCTCATTCATCTGGGGGACCCCTAAAAGAATGATGTTCAATCTCTCACTAATTTGGGGGACCCCCAAACTGGTTGGTGTCCGATGCTTCGGGGCAAAACAAAAAATCAAACAGCACACACCACAAGCGCCGCGCAAAAGACTTTCGCTCGCTCGCCCGAGGGAGCCACCGGGTCCAGGAGGCTCTGGGCATAGACTTCAACCCACTTCCTGACAAAGCGCTTGAACGCCTCGAGCATCTCGGCCTCATAAAGCTCCTCAGCTCGGAGTTGGTAAGATCGGATCTGGGTTCCTTTCACCAAAACCCGCGGAGGGTTCGGTTCTGCTAATACCCCAGGCAAAGCATCAAACAGCCAATGAGGTGGTGAGGAGTCTTCTGACTTGACGTTTGGCCGAACGGGGGCTGCCAAAGAACTAGACCCATCATTGCCATCCCCAAAAGACTTTGCCTCAGGAAGCCGTGTCTGACCAGCAGGATGGCACATGGAGAGAAGCGCCGCAGCTTGTGGTATGCAGCAATGCAGCTTGTCTGTAGGAATGGGGGAGAGAAAAAAGAAACATGAAGCAGGCTTTGAACACAAATGACCCCGAAGCACGGTTTATAAAGGCTAGGCAAGAGTATGCCACGGCAAACAGGTCGCACGTTTTTTACAGAACCTGCCCAATCTTTTGGTGCAAGTTTCTGTACGCAAGTTCTCTGAGCAAGTTTGCTGCGCAAGTTCTCTGAGCAAGCTCCCTGTGCAAGCTTTTCTGGGCAAGTTCCATGAGCAAGCTCCCTGTGCACGTTTCTCTGCGGGGCACGTTTATCTGAGCAAGTTCTCTATGCAAGAGTCTCTGCGCACGCTGCATGCTACATCTGTACTACGAACAGAGCTGCGGGAATGTGCACTTCGTACCGTTTGGCGCCGCGCAGCTGCAAGGTTCCGTTCTGCCTGCAAAAAGGGGGGGCGATTCGAGCCTGGATCCAGAGAGCAGGCTAGGACACAACTGTCAAGACTTGTCGACCAAAACGCGCATTTGTTTTGCACTCGAGAGGGTCGACTGGGCAGACCAAATACGATTTCCAGGAAGAATTCTGCCAATCCGCTTCGGTCGCAATGCTGAGGAAAGCCAATTTTGACTGTGCCAGTTTCTGCGCCTAAGTTCTCTAATACTCTAAGTAAGCTTTTCTGTGCAGGTTTCCCTTCAGCAAGTTTCTGTCAGCAAGTTCTCTATGCACGGCACACACATGCCTCATCTCTGCACGCCTACAGAGCTTGGACAATGACAACCAAAGTCCAACTATACAGTGATTGAACCCTATGAACTGTGCAAACTACGTATCTGATCAAAATCACCATGAACAGCATTTGTGCTACTCAGTGTGTGTGTGTGTGTGTGTGTGTGTGTGTGTGTGTGTGTGTGTGTGTGTGTGTGTGTGTGTGTGTGTGTGTGTGTGTGTGTGTGTGTGTGTGTGTGTGTGTGTGTGTGTGTGTGTGTGTGTGTGTGTGTGTGTGTGTGTGTGTGTGTGTGTGTGTGTGTGTGTGTGTGTGTGTGTGTGTGTGTGTGTGTGTGTGTGTGTGTGTGTGTGTGTGTGTGTGTGTGTGTGTGTGTGTGTGTGTGTGTGTGTGTGTGTGTGTGTGTGTGTGTGTGTGTGTGTGTGTGTGTGTGTGTGTGTGTGTGTGTGTGTGTGTGTGTGTGTGTGTGTGTGTGTGTGTGTGTGTGTGTGTGTGTGTGTGTGTGTGTGTGTGTGTGTGTGTGTGTGTGTGTGTGTGTGTGTGTGTGTGTGTGTGTGTGTGTGTGTGTGTGTGTGTGTGTGTGTGTGTGTGTGTGTGTGTGTCTGTGTGTGTGTGGGTGGGTGGGTGGGTGGGTGGGTGGGTGGGTGGGTGGGTGGGTGGGGGTGGGTGTGTGTGTGGATGCGTGGGTGCGTGGGTGCATGGATTAGTTGCTTGGAGCCTCTACAAGAACCAGGGGTTCAAATCCCCAAACCAACCCAAACTACCTACGGGTTACCTGAAACCAAGCATTCCAATCCACATGCGCTCAGGTTTTTCTATCTCCGGCCACAGGTCTGCGTGGTACAGCTTCGAGCCAACCAGAAATTTCTCGAATTCCTCCCGCCGCGTCTTGAAGCAATCCATGGCGAACGCCACGGCGTTGCCCGTCATCTTGCGAATCACCTCTCTAAGCTCCTCGATCGCGCCATGAACCAAATCCCAAACCGACCGTACCCGGTGCTTTGTTTTTTTAGATTTCATGTATGTCTCATGGGGGTGTGTCTTTGTTAGGGGTCCACCACAATAGGGGGGGGGATCCTTGTTGTTTCCTTTAGACCACAAAAAAAGGGGTGCCATCACAAAAAGACGACAAACAGGGATCTTCTCACAAAAAGCTCAAAGGAAACCGGGAATAATGTTCTGAGAACCTGGCTTTGGCTTCTGCATTATGCGCCCTCACCAGCTCTTGCACCGCTTGCTGCGTCGTCTGCATGTGCTTTGTGAGGGAGCCTGCGTCGTACTCCTGGATAAACATCACGAAACTGTAATTGCCTTAGCTGAACCCAGGTGTCAGACACACTTGCTTCAACGGCACGGACGGGATACGTTGTTGTCTTTGCGGAAACGCATTGGACATGGCAATGCCACAAGCAATGTCAAACATTCCGCCTCTCTGCAATATTTCTCGAAGAGGTCCCAGAGAAGTCCCAGAGAGGGCCGTCAAACCGGCAACCCCTCCAAATGGACGACCTTCGTTGATTCTTCTGCCGAAAGGTCCCTTTCACTACATCAATAGGCATTTCAAGTGCGGGCCAGGCGGTTCAGGTGCTAGGAATCGCCACCAACAGCGTCAGGATCTGCCGGATGCAGAACGGCGAGGCGCCTTGGCGATTGAACCCATGGGTGCTGTCCGCTAGCATCGGGCTTGTGCCTCTTCGCTATGGTTAGTACTGGTCGCCCACATGGCTACTTGCTAAAAATGACATATTGGGCAGGTCGTGTTGCGTCCATATGACCTCACATACCCTCCCAAGTAACCTGGAAGTGCAAAGAACCCAACTCACCAAGGGGAAAGTCGTCTTTCTACAGCCTGTGCATCTTTGTATCTATGGCCCGAACGAGCCCTTGAACGAGCCCTTCAGCCCGGTTCGGTCTGGGCCACCTGGGCCACCTGGGCCACCTGGGCCACCTGGGCCACCTGGGCCACCTGGGCCACCTGGGCCACTGGGGCGCAGGCAGGTCTCGCTGGCCGCGATGACGTAGATGGAGAAGCCGGTGCACACGGCCGAGGCCACCACGCCCAGCAGCAGGATCATGTGGAGCCAGTCTTGCAGCGTGCCTCGAAAAGAACATCGCGGAAAAGAATTGAGCGGCTACGCTGCCGGTGTTCGTTTTCTTTATAATAAATAAATATATATATATATTATATAAATGAGCGGTTTCGCCGCCTTTTTTTCTTGTTTTTTTCCCGAAGGCAGGCCCTGAGCTTCTGCCTTCATTGTGCAAAACCGCATTCAAAAGGAAGGTGCCGCGGGGGAAGGGTGGGGGTCCCGCAATTCCGTGTTTAAAGGGGTGGGGATGTGAAAAATTGGTTCACGCAAACTGTTCCAAAACCGGGCCAATCCGATGCCCCATTCCCGATTGAACAACCCACAAAAAAAACCTTTCTGGAGGCAAGGATTGAGGATTGGCTTTGAACAGCCCAGCAAGGCTGCCCCCTTCAACAACAAACATGGCCCCTTGCTGGTTCTATTGGCCCCCCTTCATGGCAGACATAAATTCCAAGATGAAGACGAGGCACTGCAGCTGCGGGGCAGGCACGGGAAGCATATCTGCAAACAGTTGCATGGAAAGCAGCCTCAGAACGAGTTGCGTCAGAATGAGTTCTGTCCGCGTGGCTCGCCTCAAGTCTACACAACATAGATGCATCCGCCTAAACTGCAAGCTCCAATGACTTGATGCGCTCATTCTGACTCATCCGTTGCCCGGGCGAGACAGAAACACACGCCAAGGCACAGTCGTGTAGTTTCGCACAGCACAAGCAGTCACACTGACATGAGCAGCCAGATTCTGACATACCAAGGACCAGCTGCTAGGTGGAAATGCACGTGGAAACTAGAAACCTGAGCCTGTGGCCATGTTAAATGGAAGCCGATGTGGCACCAACCGTATGAATGGGTTCCTTGTTTCGGCCGATATCAGCCAATTCAACGGGTATCTCAGTCTGAAACGCCTTGGCTTCGTAGCTGATATTAGCTGATGCAATGCAAAAAATTGCTGCCTCGAACGATCATATCCCCCATCGCCAAGTCATGTTCTCATAGATCGGCTCTCGGTGAAGCCCACTGGACTTGCTGTAAGCCGACGGGTTGCACAGCTCCATTGTTGCTGAATAGATCTCAGCCAGGAAATGTGGCAGACTTACTTTCGATGCGTTCGCCTTTTCCTTGTAGAACGAGTCCTAAGTATCGGGGGTCCAACCAGCATGCCATCATGACCCGTGCAAAAGCAACGTGTTCTTTGCAAAGCACCTCGAGTTGAGCCAGCTAGCATTCGCCAGCTTGGGCAAGCGAATGCGCGCTGGGAGATCCGACTTGCATTGCCTGGCTCTCACATTTGAGAAACAAATGAAGCAAAAGGTTACTATACGATCGGAGACCACTTCTAGATCCCAGCTAGCTTCTGTTCTTTCAACCCTGCTGTGCTGCTTACTGCATTCCATGGTCTACAAAACGCAGATCAGCACGGGAGGACAGGGGAAGCCATGGATCTCGCAAGTGGCATTCACTGTGAGACGGTCGCCTTCGGTGTTGGCTTCGCCCATCAGCCCAAACAGGGGTCGCTCATGGCCCGCTCCAACCTCAGTGGGGTCAGCGTGGATCAAAGTCGGCAAATGGGGCACAGCCAGAACCTAACAATTTCCCAGAGCAGTCCCAGCGCTGCTTCAGTCTTTGCTTTATAGGCCAACATGTCCTGTGGATTCGGGGTTGGTGACTTGCCAACGTGGATAAAGTGTTGAAGCCAGGAAAGTGTTTAAGGCAGCACACCAATACCTAGCTCGGGATGGTGCACGTGTCAGCACTTGTCCTTGTGTCCGAAACCACCGGTACCTTGCTTCCTGGAGCCCAAAGAATCTGAGCAACGCTCGGCCAACTACCATGACCTTTTAAGGGCAGCCCCACGGCCCCTGCCGACCCTAAGGTTTGGACGCCTGCTGCTGCCGATCAAACTCCCGCTTGTTACGCTCTTCAATGACCTGAACAAATCAAACCGAAGGGAGAAACGATCCGCCAAATACAGGCAAAGGAATGGCTTGCTATGCGGAACGGATGTCTTAACTCCGAAGGACGGGCCTTTGCTGCTCTGGTGTTCTTCTTCTGCACGTCCTCACAACATTGTACCATGGCCCAGGCTCTGACAGTTGCGGGACACGGTCATGTTGTTATGAGTCGATTCTTTTCTGGGCGTCCACCACAAGTAACAGGTTCATCACCACGACACGAAGTCTTCAGGTCCTTCATTGCTTTCAAGTGCTTTTGGCTCTGCACGTTGAACCTGGCGCCATATCGGTCTGGGAAGGGCCCAGACTGATAATTATGTGCTTACCGCTTAAGGGGAAACCAATTTAGAGGGCTCCAACTCGCGTTCGACGCGTGGCCATCTGCCTTCTCTCGCTGCGAAGCCTCGGCGAGTGCCGCGTAAAGACGCTCTTCTTTGGGCGCCCGCTAACAGTGGAATCGGGCTGGCACCCGATACTTTTTGTTGTGTGCGTGTGGTGTTTGATACCTTGTTTTGCTTTGTTTGAAGGGGCCATTTGGGGGACACATTTGCCCTCTCTCCCACTAACATGCCAACCAGGGGGTCCCTCCAAGAGGAAACCGATCTTCTAGGTACCCTCCTACAAATGCCATGCTAGTGGGAGGGAGGCTACCCGGTTTGGATCGTTTTAGCGGGGGGAAGCAAGAGTTCAAGGCGGGGAAAGCTCAGACGAGGGTACCCCGTCGTTCTGGCCGGGAGATCTGCGCAACCGAGGGGAGCCCGACACCCCCTCCCCCTTTAATTGGGCCCTTTAGGGTCGGGGGGAGGGGATTTGTGGACAAATTCTCTGGCAAGCCCACTGGCTTGTCGCCGATCCAGCCGCGTCTCCGAGGTCCCAAATGCCCTGAACTTAAGGCTCCGTCACTTCGAGGTCATTATGCTCGTTGACCGCACGTCGCATGGCGTCATAGGCCTGGACGCCAGAAGCTGCGACATGTGGAGGGCAGGAAGAGCAGTTCTGGTGAATTCAATTCTTGGAGAACCCACTTCTATGAAATACGGCGGAACCCACCATAAAGACATGTTTTCACCTTAAAGGCGGCAACGACTCAACGCAATCGAAAGCACGACGCCAGCGCCTCTCTCTGTCGGATCTCAGCCAGCTTGTTCCTGAGCACACAACTTCCATTGGCAAGGGAAAATGTTAGGCTGCCGGTGTCAGACCTCTTGCAACAAGGGCACGAGACCATGTCTTCATCTTGGCATGAAAACGCGGAATCCCTTGTCAAGAGGAAACCGCCATGAAACCAACAAATTGGAGAGAGTCAACCTGTTTCGGCACCTCAACTTCCGCGCACGGGCCCTTTTGTGCCTTTGCAAAGATCCGTGGCCGACCGTGGCTCAGTGGCTCAGTTGCCTTTGCCGCCGCCCTGTGCATGTTGGCCAAGGGGCCGATGTTGTTTAGGCACAAAATACCCGGCAAGTGTGACAATCTGACTTGGCACGATGCACACAAGCCAGGCCTTTCCCATGGGAGGCTTGTAGATGCGACCTGGCATGAGCGAACTGCTTCAACTGGCGGGCTAAGCAGGGCCAACCCTGTTGCCACCCATTGAGTCATACGTTCAAAGCCATCAAGCAAACATCAATCCCTTGAAATCTCCAGCATTGACCAGAACTGGGCTTTCCAGTTCTCACGTAGCAACCTCCCAAGCGAGGTTGGTAGCACTGGAGGCCTGATGTCCATAGTCTTATGGTAGCTTAAAAGGATGCAGATGTGTTCCCCCCCTTATAAATATATAAATATATATATATATAACAAAACAGAAAAAAATCAGGGCTCCCCGAATTTCCCCTTTTTAAACATGGGGAGCCAGACCCAGAAGCCCGGGCAACCGCCCGTGTCGCGAAGCCGAGTTGGCGCAAGCGCCCGACGCCGCCTTCGGGGCTGGCACGGAGCACCTTGTTGCGCACCCGCACCACGCGGCCGTGGATGGCACAGGAGACGCCTGCGCGGAGTTGGCAGCAAAAATGAGTCACAAGACGGCGGGTGAAACCCAGCTGGCCATGGGTAAAAATCCCGTATTTGAGTGAACATCCCAATCCAACCACTAAAACGGACCAAAATGGGCGGTGAATTCACCTACCCCAAAATGGTTCCATTGGGTTTAACCCATGGCCACATGAAGCCGGCGTGCCAAAACCAGTTGGATTTTTTTGGGGGGGTTCGTGGCCGCCCTTTTGGCTCGGAGACACCGAGTCTATGAGGCTGCTGAACCTGGATGGAGACCCATGGAGAACTCTTCCTGACCTCCTATGAATCCCCCGAACGGGCCTATGGCCGTTTTTTTTCCCCTTATTTTCTGACACGAAGCCAGTTGGACTCTTACGAGTTGGGCATTAATCATGATCCAAGGGCTTCTCCAACTGGCTTTGCAACCACGAAGGCCTGAGAAGACGGCCCACCATGACCATGTCTTAAGCCAGATTGCGTTGCAACATCTCCGAGCATCCGTCCGATTCGAGTGCTTAAGGCCAAGGCGCAGTACAACATCTTCATGTAGAGCTTCGGGAGCAAGAAGGACTGGTAAAAGCTGGCCTCCCTTAGGTCTCTCTGCGAAGATGCATCCACCATGTTTCTAACCTGAAAGCGCTTGATGGCCTTGTCCTCGCGGAGGACTTGGAAAGGCTGGGAAGGGCTTCAGGAGAGCTTGAATGGGCTTGGGAGGGCTTAGAAGGACCTGGCAAGGTTGTTCGGGGCTTGAGGAAGGCTGTGAAGTGCCTGAGGAAAGCATTCAATCTCAGATCTCCCCATTTGCGGAACGCATCCGGCGGGGAAAAACACATCGTGCTCATAAAGTCGTGAGTGGCACGTCCTGAAACCGGAGTGTTCAACCTTCATTAAAAGAATGGCAAGGACCCAATTTGGATGCTGACAATCCTTAGATAAACAATGGCGGTTCTATGAACCCCCTTGTTTTCTTGGTGGTTCCTGAACCCCACAGGAAATGTCTGACCCTCGAGCTTCAACCCCCGGGCTCGCAGCGAGTCCTTGGGCACGCAGCGAGCGCAGTTGGAGCACCGCACGATCGCCGTGTGGCCGCGGCCGTGCTTGGAACGCCCGTTGTTGCGGCGCTTGGACGGCATTGCGCAAAACGGGCTGAAGCGAGATCCCCTTCGTTTTTTGAGCCGGACACTGCGCAGATGTAGTCATCTGGGTGTGGGTCACAATTAAACCACCAGGAATTGACCGCAGATTTTACTGCTTGTTTCCATTTACCAGGGTTCCCTTGTGGGGTTACCCTATTTTTGACCCACACCCATCTACTTCTCCCAAACATCAGCTAGAGGCACAAAGAATATTGACTATAACTCGGGTCCTGCCCCCGATCACCAAGAGTCACTCCTTTGTACGGACACTGCACCATGAAGCACGAGTTGGTGAATGGTTGCTAAATCCGTTCGCACCACGAAACGAAACCATGGTTGAAACCATTATTTGTCGGTATTTACGGGGGAATCGAACCATTCCATGGGTTCTTGAGTGGTGCGAAATGAATTTCGTCCATCCACGGCATTTGGATGATCACTTGGACCCGCGAGGGTATATATACCCTGCACCCCAGTTGAATTGGAAACTTGCGAACCCCCGTTTTGTCAACAGAGATGTTCAAAACTATCACAAGCGCTGACAGCTGCTCACATGCCTTGAATCGACGATTTAAGCTCGGAACTTGTATTGCAGCTCTTTGTTGCGGTACTGATTCATGTGAAAGATCCTGACCGCTCGAGGCACACATGCGTGAATTGCGGAAACTCAGCTGCGCCTGTCGTCTTCGGACCACAAGTCTTCGTGGAAAGGGCTTTCCTGGCAGCTCAGCATACCCGAAGTCACGAACCTCTCCGAGTCTCGTTGCCCAGGAACCCGCCTGCGTCTTGTAAACCCATCTCCTTGCGTGAAACTTGCCAAATGCAAACCCAAGTCTTGGTCAATGGGCTTCTCTCAAAGTCCCCGCCCTCGTTTTGGGAGGGCTTCAAGGGCGGACAAAAGAAACCAACCACCTGGTGTCCAATGTCAAATCCCCCCCGCAGTTGGCTAGGCTCCAGGCTCTTCGCGATCACGCAGGGAGTCTAGGAATGTTCTTTTGGAGTCTATCCGCTCCCTGCCAACTCGGATGGCATGCACGACACACATGGCATTGGTAGAGTGACTGAAGACAAGTTACCCAACGCGCCAGGATGCACATCCCAATCACCACAAGCGTGAATGGTGTGAGATATCCGGCTTGGCCTGCGAAACTCGTCTCGCTTCTTGATCCTTGGATCGCAAGAAATACGTACTGTTCCTGCAAACACGGGTCTTCCAAATGATTGGCTTCACATTGGCCAATGTGGAAAGCTCTGCCATAGAAGCCTTAATTTGAGCTTGCCACACGCACACAGATCTTGGCAGCATGCACTTGTGCATGCTCTCGTGCAGCACGAGGCGCCGTTCACTTTCATTGAAGCCCGCTACTTTGGCTGCATGCTCTCTGGCCCTGGGCAGAAATCAGCTTCCCTTTGACTGGCTTAGATTGGCTTGGAAGAGAGCGATTCTCCAGCTTACCCTCAAGAATTTGGGGTTCAATTCCCCAAAGGATCCCGACGTGAGTCCATAGCTCGCTCGAGCCCCGCTGAGCTTTTCCCCAGAACCGGCGCCTGGCGTTGTGCTCGGAGCGGCGCAAGAGCCGATCCCTGCCATCATCTCTCAGCGCCGGAGGCCTGAGGATAGGGATCTTGAATGCGAGGCTCGCGACCCCCCTCTGATTTGCGGGTTGTAAAGTAAAGGGAAGCCCAAAGGAAAATCGGCCATGAGGGGTACCCTAAAACAAGAAGGGGGGGTGCCCTTAAAAAAGAATCTCCCAGATGGTGGGAGATCGTCGCATTCGCATCCGGACTGGGCTGCTGGCAGTGAGACGGACATGCCTGAGGGAATAGGCATGTAGGCGTGCAAGTGCCAACGGGCCTACCAGGGATTTCCTCGACCATGCTTCTCCACAGAACCACATCGGATTTTGCTAAGGACCATAAAATTTCAGCACGAGTTACTTGTGCTACCTGCCCGGCCTCCACGCGGAAGCCTGACCCTCTCGAGCCATACGCGACGATAGCGGGGAATGCCTCTGGGAGGCGCACCAAACTGGATCTGAGTTTTCGGAAAAGGTTACTGCTCCCCGAACTCAAATGGGTGTGGCTCAAAAAAAGGGGGTCCAAAATGGAACCCTGGTAAACAGAAAGGTAGACTAAAACCTGCGTAACCCCAGCAGATTAATTTTGAGCCGCACCCAAATCCAAAGTGTTTACACTTCGCCAACTCAACGGGTGAATTACAAGACATTCCGCAGAATTCTTACATGATGAAACGCCATGCTCATACTTAACTATGACAAGACTTGTCCCTTCAACGTCGAAAAGCCCAGCGTGTCGCTCGTGTCTTTTGACTCGGTGCATCGTACATCGGTTCAAACGCCCGCCGCCACATCCGCTGCCACATCCAGGCGGATGTTGCTGGGGATCTTGCCTTGGAGGAAGATACATGTGAGTGTGTCCCTTTGTTGGAGGGAACCCTTTCTTTGGGGTGGTTTAAGTGGAAACCACAAGGAAAACCACCATATGTGCGGCTGTCTAAACTCCTTGTGACCGCCAATTTGGGACGCCCCATCGCTTCCCGCGTGTTTCTTTTGTTTTTTTGCGTTCTTGTTTTTCAGGGCATCGCTCTTACACATTGTATGCTCAAATACGGGCATATCTAGTGTTGCAATGGACCCGTTGCCCAAATTATCCAAGTCACAAGCAAACAACATAATCTGCTTCTTGGATTCCAAGCCAACCTACGCTACTAAACTTAGTTGGTCCCCCCTGGATGTGTTCTTCATACACGACCAGCTTGCGCATCAATGCTGCAGGGCGCTGCTGCAGGGTGCTGTTGCAGAGTTGTTGAGTATGCTGCTGAACTGCAGGCCGAGACTCAGAGTTGCGCAGGTTTTGCTGCAGGACGGTCAGCCAAAACCAAGGACTTTCCCACAAAGGCAAGCGTTGTTGACCCAAATGGGCAACTAACTTAACTGGGCACCTAACAGACCTTTGGGCATCGCCGGCATCGCTTCGGCGCGTCTTCTTGTTACATGTTATCATGGTGGTCTGGCTTCAAGCACAGCCATGCGCCACCTGGCACATCTAAGCTAGCAACCAAAAGCTGTCAAGTGTTTATATGGGCTTGTCATTTTGTGAGGGACTTGCGAATATGGATGGTTTCTGCTTGGCTTTCCTCTGAACCTCCGCGCTCAACTAGCGCAAGCAATATCCCCTCTCTGAAAGTTGATGCATACAAAAGCAGGGCATCGCTTTTGGGACGCCCCCATCGCTTCCCGCAGCTTTCTTCACTTTTGGAAAGCAGATGTCCGCCGAATACATATTCTAGATAACGCGAGTTTTGACGGTTGCTCGTATGTTTTTAGTGGGGGGAGGGTCCCCTACAAGAGCACCCTTTTTAAAGTAGGTTTCAAGGAAGCCAACAAATTTTGGGGCCCCGCTGTCTCAAAATAGGGGTACCCCCTAAATGAGTTGTGTTACATGGTGTCCCTGAAAAACCAACCCAAAAAAGAGCTCTCTCAAAAAAAAGGCAAACCCAAATAAGTTTTCTTCGTCGAGCGGAAGGGGCTGAACTTCTGCCAATATCATGGCATTTTTTCGCAGCACTATGTGTGCACTGTTGGATGCACGGATAAGCGGTCAATTGTCATCTGGTAACAACGTGGGATATAATCACCGAATTGCCGTTCGAACAAGATTGTGGAACTCGCCGAATACCCGTGGACGCAACGAATTGTGAATGGGACCGTGGCTCGCATTGTGCAATTAGGTAATCCAGGAAGGAATATGTTGTGCCATGGTCAAAGCTCATGTCCCCTTCCGAGTAGTAACAGCCATAACTTCGGCTTGTCTAAGTGGGAAATGGTCTGCAGGAGTTTAGCAGCTGGCGCGCGGTGTGGTTCATAGCATTGAAAACACGAGAGTCCTGGTGCATCAACGTTTTCGGCCTCTTGGGAGCCTCAAAATCTTGCACGGGGATAGGAACAAATAAAAATGTGGAAACAATGCCGCTACATGATTCTTTTGAGGTGGATGTCCTATTACGGTGCGTCACTGTAACATGAGCCAACATTTTTCCTGGGCCATCCTGGGCCTCTGTTTTGGGAGACCCCCAACCAAATCCAAACCGTACAGCCCGGAGGCAGTACCTGCGGCTGAGTGGCAGGGGTACTGAGGATCTGAGCAGCACAGCCGTCCCGACTTGTCACCTCCGTTCTGCGGCGCGGGCACCTGATCTTGCAAACAGCAGGGGCCCTCGGTCTCCGTCAGGTTTCCGGGGGTGAGACCGGGTCAAAATGTGAATCGATCTCAAAAACCCGACTTTTCCGCTCAAAAAACGGGTGTTTTGGTTGGTCCAAATCGAGATCCCAAGGACCCGAGCACCAGGGGAGTCGCCCTGAGAGGGTTTTTTTTGGCGCCAAGTTCAAGTGGTTCTCTCCGGGCGCCCAGCACAGCGGAGCAGCTCCAACTCGTAGCGCAGGCCCTCCTTAAAGGGAATGGGCAGCCGCCTCGGAAGCTTCGAACGGGTCGTCAAAAAAAAAGGGCGGCGGCGTCCTTTTTGGGACCTCTGGAGGCCTCAAAAGAAAAGGCATGCTAAGGCCCAACTGGCAAGTGAGCAACACCTGCAACTCACTCACTCTTCGTTCTACTAATGTGGCTGCGGCTCAAATAAATCTACCAACATGACACCTTGGTGCATGGAACCAAAGACTAAACAACCTGCATCACCCTAGCCGCTTACTTTGGAGCAGGGCTGTGAGAAATGGAATCCACTTCTGCCATACAACCGAAAAGTTGCCTAACCCCAAAGGCCCAAAGACAAACCTAATACGAAGGGGGACAGTCGGATCAACCCCTGGGTCCAACCGTGGGTCCCACCGCAGTCAAGCACCTCACGAAACTGAGCTTCCGGCAGCGGCGGCTTCACCCCGGCGCGCGCCAGGCCGTTGGCATAGCCCAGGTACGACGGCACCTGGTGAAGCGGCGGAAGCGGAGCCCCACCCAAAAGGACGTGGGTGTGGCTCAAAATGAACCAGGGGCAAAACCTGCGGTTGGTCCATACTTACCAGGGCAACCCATTTTGGAATTCCGGCTTTTTGAGCCACATCTTGCCCCTCCCCCGAGCCGCTACTGGCAGGGGAGAGGGGTTGAAGAATGAAGCTATGAAGCTACTCGCATTTCCGAAAGCTAATTTCTCAAATCACCCCAAACTCAGCCCCGAAAACCCCGTATTTAGAACTGCCCAAGCCTGCGCATTCGTCTGAAAAAGGTGCAGTCCAATATTTAAGAGCTGCTCCGTATTCCTTTCCGCCTCAAAAATCGTCACGGGACTTCCCCAGTTTCAGACCCAATCCAACAAGTTGTTCGTAGCAAAAGAAATGTCACCCCCGGAAATGACATGGTCAAAAGAATCAACCCCCAAAATGAATTGCGGAATATCAAACATGTAACAAGCTTTGGGCGAATCAATACCCCATGTTTGAGCCATACCTCCACGCCCATATCTAAAACATCTGAACCAAGCTCCCAACTCCAAAAAACGTCAGCCGACCTTCGTCCAGGGCTTGGAATGCCTTACTCAATCTTCGGACCCCCAAACGTGGGTGACCATACTGTGGATGGACGAAATCCATGTTGCACCACCTAGAGAACCTAGAATGATTCGATTCCCCTGTAAATACAAACAGCGGAGTTTAACTATGGATTCAAAGTGGTGCAGAAATTTGTCAAATGTTTGTAGTCCTGGCCAGCTTACCGAATTGTGCATACATCTTGGGACAGCGACCATGATATCTGGGGACAAGTCAAGTCATTCGACGCCTGTTTAGAGCTAGTCAACCTAAAGTATTGAAACATCCATTTTGCGGAGTGTTAAGTGAATCCATACACATCAACAAGTCAAGTCATAATTATTCAATGACCGCTGTCAACCCATCTACCTGTCTACCGGTTGACCTGTCTACCTGTCTAGCTAGGGTTTACACATGGTTTGTTCCCTCCGGCGTTGTCCAACATTACAAACAGAACCAAACAAAGCTCTCCGACATCATTGATAAGGGTTTCTGAAACCCATCTATCGCTTCCACTGATTTGGGGTGAATTGGAACTTCAGCATCTCGAAGATACGGCTTTTGCCAAGAGAAGCTTCTTAAGCAGACTCCTCTGGACCAAACAAGTTGCTAATCTGATCTCGGACTGTAGAGATATCACCACCATGGTACGGATCACCCCACGCAACAACAGAGCCACATTCCAAGATCGCAGCAAATGCGTTTGCAGTGCCCTGAACCTGCTGCACACTCTTCAGCTGATCTTGGACTGCAGAGCTGTCACCACCATGGGGTGCATGGCCCCATGTAACAACAGAGCCACTTTCCAGGATCGCGGCAAATGCACTTCCTGAGGCCTGAACCTCTTTCACGCGCCTCAGCTGATCTTGGACTGCAGAGCTGTCACCACCACGATGTGGGTCGCCCCACGTAGCAACAAAGCCACCTTCCAGAATTGCGGCAAATGCACCATGTGTGGCTTGAACTTTATACACTCTCCTCAGCTGATCTTGGACTGCAGAGCTGTCACCGCCATACTGTGGATTGCCCCAAGTAACAACAGAGCCACTGTCAAGGATGGCGGCAAATGCACCGTGTGTGGCTTGCACCTCCTGCACACTCCTCAGCTGATCTCGGACTGCAGAGCAGTCACCACCATGCTGTGCATGACCCCAGGTAACAACAGAGCCACCTTCCAGGATCGCGGCAAATGCTTCCGCTGTGCCCTGAACCTGCTGCACACTCCTCAGCTGATCCCGAACTGCAGAGCTGTCACCACCATGGGTGGCCCAGCCCCACGTAACAACAGAGCCACCTTCCAAGATCGCGGCAAATGCGTTTGCTGTGCCCTGAACCTGCTGCACACTCTTCAGCTGATCTTGGACTGCAGAGCTGTCACCACCGCTCATTGTGGATCCCCAGGTAGCAACAGAGCCACCTTCCAGGATTGCGGCAAATGCACCACCAGCTGTGGATTGAACCTGATGCACACTCTTCAGCTGGTCTTGCACATAAGAGGAATCACCACCGCGCTGTGGATCGCCCCACGTAGCCACAAAGCCACTTTCCAGGATCGCGGCAAACGCGCCAAACGTGGCCTGAATTTGCTGCACTCTCCTGAGCTGATGTTGGACTGCAGAGCTGTCACCACCAACTCGCGGATCGCCCCAAGTAACAACTCTGTCACATCCACAGCACCACAAAGCAAAAGCGTGTTGAGTTGCGGCCAACTTTGCTTGTCTCTTGATCACTGTGAGTGTGTCCCCGTCTTCCACGCCTGCAGCCTGGAGGGGCTCCGTATCAGTCAGGATACGCCCATCCGAGGTGACCAGCCCAAAGAAGCCCTGCGTGGCAAAAGCATCCTTGGCCAAAGCCTTCAAATCCCCAACTTTGGAGGATTGCGGAATGGAAAGGCTTGCGCTGCGACCACTGGGCAGAGACAGAGTCACTAGCATCTCTGCAAAAGTCTGTGCTCAATACAAGTGTGTTCCAATAAATCTTGAGCCAATGCCGAGCCTTGTTGTTTATGATGGCTATCTGTTCAATAGCTTTGACAGGGTTATGAACACAGCACAACCCTGGCCTCGTCACCATATATATATATATATGGTCACCCCCCCCATGATCCACACCCCCATGTTGCAAACTAGAAAACATACCAAAAATGCAGGAAAACACGGTGTTATCCTTGTTTTTTGTTATACAAAGGCGTATCAGATTCTGACCAGATTCTTTGAAGGATATCATCTCCAGATGAAATGGGTCGGTTCAGCAGATGGTTTCCTACATTGCAAGGATGAATCCAATGTTGGCCTTCAGAGTGAGATAGTTTTGAGACTGGATGCAAGCTTGAAGTGCTGATGAAGAAGCTGTGACATTTAGGCCCTACAGCATCTCGGGCATCCAGGAGCAGCCGGTGCTGAGAGGCCTCTATTTTTTCAGAGGCCTTGGAAACCAAAAAAATAGAGACCTTACAGCATTTTTGGTGCTCAGAAGCAGAAAATGCTGTAAGGTCTCTACTTTTTGAGCTTCCAAGGCCTCACAGCATTTTCTGCTCTTGGACTTACAGTATTTTGTTTTGGAGGCTGGGGAAGCTCAAAAAATAGCAACCTGCAGCATTTTCTGCTTCTGAGTGCTGTAAGGTCTCTATTTTTGAGGCCTTGGAAACCAACAAAAAAGAGACCTCACAGCATTTTTGGTGCTCAGAAGCAGAAAATGCTGTAAGGTCTCTATTTTGCCCCACATCTTTGTGTGGGGTTCTTACTTTTACCGCTCCGCGCCCGCCGTCCGCCGTCCGGCCCCGCCGTCCGCCGCCCGCCCCGCCGCCCCCACCGCCCACTCACTCACACTCACTGTCTCACACTCACTCACTCAACAGTCACTCACACACACTCACTCACGCACTCACTCACACACACTCACTCACACACGCACTCACACTCACTCTCTCACATTCACTCACACACACTCACTCTCTCACACTCACTCACACACACTCACTCTCTCACACTCACTCACACACACTCACTCACACTCACTCACTCACACTCACACTCACTCACTCACTCACTCACTCACTCACTCACACTGACTCACTCACACTCACCTGGGCTTGTGTTTGTGTGGCAGGGGCAGCATTTGGCAGCTGTCTAAAGGGCTGGGATGTTGTCGCGCGCGCGGCTCGGGGCGCGCGAAATCGTGGCAGGCGCAGCACTTTGAAGATGCCGTTGCCGAAGTCGTGGCAGGCGCAGCATTCTGTGCATCTGAGCGTGTGTTTGCTTGGCAGGGGCAGCATTTGGCAGCTGTCTATAGGGATGGGATGTTGTCGCGCGGCTCGGGGCGTGCGAAATCGTGGCAGGCGCAGCACTTTGAAGATGCCGTTGCCGAAGTCGTGGCAGGCGCAGCATTCTGTGCATCTGAGCGTGTGTTTGCGTGGCAGGGGCAGCATTTGGCAGCTGTCTAAAGGGCTGGGATGTTGTCGCGCGCGCGGCTCGGGGCGCGCGAAATCGTGGCAGGCGCAGCACTTTGAAGATGCCGTTGCCGAAGTCGTGGCAGGCGCAGCATTCTGTGCATCTGAGCGTGTGTTTGCTTAGCAGGGGCAGCATTTGGCAGCTGTCTATAGGGATGGGATGTTGTCGCGCGCGCGGCTCGGGGCGCGCGAAATCGTGGCAGGCGCAGGACTTTGAAGCGAAGTCGTGGCAGGCGCAGCATTCTGTGCATCTGAGCGTGTGTTTGCGTGGCAGGGGCAGCATTTGGCGGCTGTCTAAAGGGCTGGGATGTTGTCGCGCGCGCGGCTCGGGGCGCGCGAAATCGTGGCAGGCGCAGCACTTTGGAGGTGCCATTGCCGAAGTCATGGCAGGCGCAGCATTCTGTGCATCTGAGTGTGTGTTTGCGTGGCAGGGGCAGGCAGGCGCAGCACTTTGGAGATGCCATTGCCCCAGTCGTGGCAGGTGCGGTATTTTGTGCGTGGCAGGGGCAAGGGCAGCATTTTGTGTATCTGGGCGCGTGTTTGCGTGGCAGGGCAGCATTTCGCAACATGCATTCTTCAGCAGCCGTTTCCCCGGCAATTTCTTCAGAGGCTAGTTGTTGCGCGCACACAGTGCAGGCTGGCTTCAGATGCAATCAGTTGCCGTGTTGTGCGGGGTGATTGAAGCATAGCCATGTCTCATGTTTCCGCTTTGCTTGATGACTAGACAGTGCTGTTGCTCTCTGACGCTCGGATTATTGGCTCGGGAGAGCAAAGCGGCCAGTGTTAGTGTGATACATGTATCTTTGCTTTCCAAGTCGTTTGCTGTTGACATTTGCTTTGCATGTTCAATCACTAGGCTTCTTAGACCCTACAGCTTTGCTAGTTTCAGCAGCACGGCCTAGCACTGCCATACTTGTTGGACAACATCCTGTTCCTGTCGGCGTAAGATGCCGA